TCAATTTGAATTCCTTAATTCATGTTTTTTGTTACTTAATACTTTGTAATAAGCGATAAAATAGGTATTCTCTTTAGAAGAAAGGTCTTTAGAGTTAAATACAGAACATTTGGGCTTCGGCTGAGGCAATAATTATTCTTGTATGGTTCAAACCTCCAGGGGGATGTTGGCTCTCTGTGCTTTTGTAGGTTGAGAAAGTAAGTATGAATATATACTACATTAGAATAGATTCGATAGTACTAAAAAAATCCTGCATGAGGGCCCTTAGAATGTTTCTTTGAATCTGTTTTTCTTTTGATCCTTGGAGGTTATTAGACTATGTAGAATATGTCAAATAAAGAAAGACCTAATCAAGTTTTTTTCTCTAAAGTCGTGTGTGTGTACTAGACTTCAGAGTTCTAAAGTTCAAGATCTGCAAACAATATCTTTTAGGGGTAAGTTACTTGGAATCTTGAACCATGTTCTCTATGGTTTTGATTTTCTAAACTACAAGGGTGCAACATAAGAGTGGTGATTCCGTGCACCCAAGATCCACGCCTAACTCTTGGACCTTTTCACAAAAGTTGTTGGGCTTAGAAGCTAATATGGTAAAAGGCCCGTATGACCAAAGCTAATGTGCCTAATCCTAGTCCTAATCTTAACCATAATCCTAATCCTAATTATAATCCTAACCCTAATCCTAATCCTAAGTAGTCCACATCAGCAAGGTCCATATAATTGGAATGGACCTGAGGACCATGAAAGTATTTGCCGCAACAGAAACCCTCAATTGTGTCATTGTTATCCTATTTGTACAAACTACATTGTGCTAAATTATTCCCAAAACAAAGATTGGAAAAAATGCATTGAGCTTTCTAGTGCCCAATAAAAATTCCACAGGTAATAGTTAAGTCATTATCTTCTACCAAAGAGCAACACCAACACCAATGCACTTCGGCATAATTAAATTAAGAATCCAACATCAAAACATAGAAAGATATCATTTTAATCCCAAATTAAAGAATTAAGGCTGCTTATACCCGCCCTCCTTATTTTTTGTTGTTAGAGTTAAAGAAAGCCTAATTACCTGTAGTTTTGTGGCGAGGCCTTTGGACAATGTTCCTGAAGATAACACGGGGGTCACTCTCTCCAGCCCATCTGCTCAACCCATCAAAATGAACAGTTTCAAAGCTTTATATACACTGCTTCCATTGTTAATATATGAATGTACAGGAGAAAAACAGACAAAAACAAAAGATGAGACAACTAGGGTTTCAATTGAAAAGTACCCAATGCGGAAATAGGAGGCGCCATTGTCGATGACGATGGGGCAACTGGAAGGAAAGGAGCTGTAATCGGATTGCCTCTGTATTTTGGATATGAACGGCATTTTTCTACCGTTGCTTCCCTTGTCAGTATAGCCCCCCTCACACGCAGAATATTACCTCTGGTTTGGCACCGATGGTAAACTGCTGAGTAATTGCTGGCTATGGAATCACAAAAAGTGTAACGATAGTGATAGCTAAAAGCAAGTGTTTGTGGGGTAGGACAAAAGTAAACATAATTACTCGCGGTACCGCACATATTAACGTTAACGTTTTGGATAAAATTTTAACGGTACAAATTATTTTGAAAATGCTAACGCTAAACGTTGTACGTAAATAGCCTTTTCAAAGCGCTAACGTTATTTCCAAACAGGCTCATGTTTCACATTATCTTAAATATATTAAAGGGTGTTTTTGATTTTTTTTGTTAGAACTCTCAGATTTCATATTATCTAAAATATACTTCTAGAGTCTTTAAAATCCAAGATAACGTATGAGAGTACATTCCGCCTATTTGGTCGTTATGATTGAAAGTTTCGTTACTTTGACAAATACTAAGTTTTAACGTGATAATCATTGCTATATTTTTTTTGATCATAACGCTTAAATTGACACAATGTTGCTTCAGAGTATAATATCACAAACTTTAAGGGTCTTGGAATATGTTTTCAAACATGTAAAATTTGGGAATTCTTACTAGAAAATAGAAGATACCCTGAAGTATATTTCAAATAATTTGGACATGAGATTTTTTCTCATAAAATCGAGAGTACACTAGAGTAATTTTCTACCAAAAATGTACATAAAAATAAGGGTAATGCTAGGAGTACCTATGTTGTGTACTTCATTTGTACACAAAGTATTTAGAGACACACACAAACACTCAATATTTGTACAATATACAAACATTGAGTGTTTTTGTGTGTCCATGAATATTTTAGTTTACAAATAGGGTACACGAGACACCACTTGGGGCACCCATGTCATTATTTGTACAATACACAGACATTGAGTATTTTTGTGTCTCTGAATGCTTTAGTTTACAAATGGGGTACACAATACACCACTTGGGGTACCCCTAACATTTTCTTAAAAATAGTGTGTACACTTGGGGTATATCATATGGTGCCCCAAGCCTTTCTCGAGCCTATAACACTCAATATATTTTGTCATATTTTATTACACCAATACTTACTAGAGTTTGGTAAGTGTGTACTGTTACTCTTTATTATTTCAAAACTTACGTCGTTTTTCCTTGTGATTCTAATATTGCTACGTCAATGTTCATCTAGATTAAAATATTCTTTAAATATTAGGCGAATATTTATATTGCTCTCTTATGGTTTTGGAAATGGGCACCAACCCCCCCTCCCCCCTCTTTTTTTCTTTATTGTTTTTTTCTACTAATTATTTCATAAATATTTATAAATATATTTATTAGAGGTTTAAAATGAAAACAAAATATATTTTAATTAAAAATATAATTTTATCAAAACATTAAAAATTTTAGAATGTATATGAGACTTTGTAGCACAAGATTAAAAAAGTTTCGAACATGGGGTGAATTTAATATGCGAGGTGAGTTTAGTTTTTTTTGTAGAGTGTGATCATCGCCATTTTTAATAATTAGAGTAGTTAGATTAGGGCTTAAGAGTAATTTGGTTAGACTAGGACTTAGGAGTAATATACTTTACAAGTTCAATTGTGCTCATTTTTCAAAAATATTTGTATACATCAACTTATTTAAAAGTAATACAAAGTATTTTATTCTACTTTTTAAATGTAATTTTTTTTAGTTTAAATTAAAATATTAAATGAAAAAATTTTAAAAAACATAAATAAATGAAAATGAATTGGAATGGAATGAAGATCTACATCCTTGAATAGGGATAGATTGAAGATTGAGACATCCCTAAATGAACTTGAAATGAGGATGAAATGAAGAAAAATGATGTGATGTTGAGTTAGAAGGTGGGAGATGGTAAGCATCTACTAATTCATAACCAACAATGAGTGCTTCTTTGTTGCACCCAAGGTTTAGAAAAATTTTGTGGATCTTCCCTCATATGGAGTAAATTTAGCTTTTTAATTTTTAAATAAAAATGTTTATTTCAACATTAAGCAAATGTTTATCACCCTCATTTGTAGGTGCACCATATATTTTAGATCCACGGTAGAATTTGCCAACAATCTAATGTAGATTTAAAATGTTATTTTTAAATAATTCAAGTTTTTTTGTGGTCATTAAATCTTAATTATTTTATGGACCTTGATATGTGAAATGATTATATATATTGATTCTTGTAAAAAGATAAAGATGGAATTATGAATCAAGATAAGTATTTAATTACATATCTCCCACTTCAATTGTAGGATGCTCTATAACAAATGTCATGTGTGTGCTTAAAATACACTATCAAGACAAAGTACTCATAAAATAAATTTGTATAGTATATGATATGATTGGAAGGCTTGCTAAAAATTGAGTTTGTAAAAATTTATTTGGGCTTGTTTGATGATAATGTTAGAGATTATCGTTAACATTTTGAAAAGACTATTTATGGACAGTACTTAGCGTTAGCATTTTCAAAGTAATCTACACCGTTAAAATTTTATCCAAAACGCTTACGCTAATATCTAACGTTATTTCTATATATGCCCTTTGCTTGCTAAAATAACAATCACCAACCCATTTTTAACATTTCTACTAGAAATGCTTTTACAAATTGTTACTCAATTTTTTTCAATTTGTAAGAGCATTTGGATAATATTTCAAAAGTACATAACAATTTTTACTTTGTATAAAACAAAATGTTACAAATAATTTTTTTCTATCAAATAGAAAAAATTAGGCAAAGCGTAGTGCTCCACATTTGAAGTGTTGTGATCTATCATGATATTGCCACCTCAGTCGTGATCATGGATGAACAGTCGACAACGGTTGGCAATTCTTTCTACGGAGTATTTTTTTAAAGTTTTTTCATTTTTATAAATTTTTGCATTGAATTATCTATTTTGTTCATAATTTTTTTGTTCAAAGTTCATTACATCACAAATAATATGTCATTGGAAACATTTTTACAAGATCTATCCAATGATATTAATATTGCTTATATATTTTTGAAGTTATGTCTCTTTTATACTTTTCCCAAACACTTCTGAATTGAAATAAATATGTTTTATTACCAAGTACTATTTTTACCAAAACAAGTTTTAAGTATAAATTATATTTCGCTTATATTTTTTCTTTTAATTTAAACTAATTTACATTTTATTGTAGTTTATATTTCTTTATTTTATTGTTACACGGAGTACTACAAAAAGGAGGGAAAAAAATAAAATTTGAAAAACAGAAACGTGAAAGAAAAAAGTTAAACCGGAAATAAACTCGAAAGAAACAAAACCAAACAAAATAGTTAATAAACCTGAAAATTAAAAAAGTTATTCTTTTTTAAAAGATAAAATTTCTAATTTGAGCGTAAATAAATTAATATTAAACAAAAATAAAGAATGTAATTATTAAAAGTGAGGAGGAAGTAAATCGAGATGTCCTAGTGATTTATGGTCTTATATTGGTCAATACATTTTAAAATCGTTCACAAATAGAATGGTCAAAAATTTTTATTTTATAAATATTTTAGATTATTTATTTTATATTAAAATTTAAAAAAAGTAAATTTGTAAAGTTGGTGACAACTGTGTTTTTGTGAATCAAGAATTTCACCTGAAATTTTAAGTGGGTTTGTTTCTACGGTAAGAACTCTGTTGGTTTTGACCATGGAGTTTCTGGACGAGGACGCTAGACCCAGATTCCTCCTCCAATCCAAGCCGCTACCTCAATCTCCGGCCGGCGGCGGCGGCGGCGGCGGCGGCGGAGAATCAGATCAAGGAACAACGTCTCTGCATCTGCCGACTGTCTTCATCTCCCTCTCCATCTCCATCCCGGTTCTTGCCCTCGCCCTACTCCACTTCACCTCCGAACCCCTCAATTCCATCCTCTTATGGCTCTCCATTTCCCTCCTCATCGGCCCGTTTGCGCCCCTCTCCGTCACCGCCGGCGACATCCGGGTCGGCCTCGGCCCTCCCGTCCAGCTCGACGATCCCGCCGATTCCGAGCCCGAAATCCGGAAATCCAGTAAGAAATCAGCCAAACCCTTCAGGAAATCCGTCCAATCCGAATCCCTATCCGGATCGGCCCCAACTGGTTCCGAACCCGAACCCGAACGGATCAATTCCTTTGCGGGGAAATCAAAGAAAGAGGAAAGGGTGGCGCCGGAGGAGAAGGATTGGAGCGAAGGAGATGTCGAACTGTTGAAGAAACTGTTAGGGAAGCATCCGGTGGGGAAGCCGGGGAGATGGGAGGCGATCGCGGAGGGGTTCAACGGGAGGCACAGAGTGGAGGGGGTGATCAAGCAGGCGAAAGAATTGGGGGAGAAGAAGGCGAACAATGCTTCGGATTCGTACCAGAAGTTCCTGAAAGACAGAAAGCAAATCGACAGCCAAGAAAGAGGAGGGGATGGTTCGGAGGAGGAGGCAAAGGGAGAAGACGAAAGCGGTGGCGGGGGGTGGACGGGCGGGGAGGATTTGGCACTGCTCAATGCACTGAAGGCGTTCCCCAAGGAGGCGGCGATGAGGTGGGAGAAGATCGCCACCGCCGTGCCCGGGAAAGGAAAGGCTGCTTGTATGAGGAGAGTGAGTGAGTTGAAAAGGGATTTCAGGAGCTCCAAGGCTGCTGCATCCTCTGCTGTTGAGGCTTGAGGTTCTTTGCTTAGGGCGTGTTTGGATGGATGGAGGGGAACACATTTGAATATTTGATTCATAGCATTTTTAGGGCTGATTTCTCTGCATCTCTTCCAAACACACCTTCAAGAGAGGCACTACAAGATATAGTACTCGGTATGATGTAGTCTGTCAGATTATACTCTCTTTTTTTTAGTCTTTTTCATTTTAATTATTTGAATACTCTTGAGATGAAATGCATTACTCCCTAATTTTTATTATGTCTCCAATAAGACTCTTTCCTGCTGGCAAGCATAGCCACAACCAATATCGACCACCACCGCCTACGGTTGGGAATGTCGACCACCGAGTAGTAGCTAATTACGTCCAAACCTGCCCAAATCCCCCGGGCATTGGGCGAAAACGAACCCCCTGCGATTAAGCATCATTATTATAAACATCATTTTATAATATTCCTAGTTTTGTACCAATGCCGCAATGCCCAAGATGATACTTTTCCCAACACAAAGGTTTCCCCTCGATGGTAGTCCCTCAACATAGTAATCTTCTTCTTTTTGCTATACATCAGACAAGTATTGTTACTATTATTATTACCGTCATTATTCTGTAGGTATGCAATTGTTTTATTGTTTATCAATATGTACGGGCGTCTGCCTTTCTTCTACGGTTCGTTTTTCCTTGCCTGATTCTTTTCGTACGAGTAGCAGTCAAGATGTGCAAAAGCAGCTGCTAGTTGCAACACAACAGAAATTAAAGCAAAGTGGAAATTTTCCGGGCAAGAGTGGTTAAACCTGCAACATCTTCCGCACCTGAGAAGTGGAAAGCATAATCGGTCAAAAACTAATTTTCCAGTCACTATAATCGGGCAAGAGAATTGAACGAGTAAAATGCAGTTCTGCTCGAGAACATATTTGGGACACAAATCAGAAAATGATTAATTGTAAGGAAGTTTTGGAAACACTTTGTGCCAGCTAAACATGTGTTCTTATAGCGCATGAATGCTTGTCCATTGGTGAAAATTGAAACCCACATAAAATAAGTTACTCTGATAGAAAATCTTCCACTGGGTTAATGAGGTAAGGTAAGGAGAACGAAATGGGAGAATATAAAGCTCGGTTGTATTCTGTATAGACGTACAAAATGTAACGGAGACTCGTCCCATGGCATAAGAGGTCTATTTACAATTAAATGGGGCGGCTTTGGTTATCCAAACAAACATGGCGTGCCCCATATTTAAAGCCAATAATATGTCAACAACCCATAAAAAATATGGATTACTATTAACTAAATAACACAACCAATGTCTAAGGGGTTGGGATTGAAAACATGATTTGTTATTTGAAAAAGGATATGTTCTTCAAATGCATTTTTTATCCTTATATAACAAAACATTTAATAAAGAAGCTACTAATTGTGGCTTCTTGATTTTAGTATTTTGGGTTTGATCAAAACGCTCCCAAAGGACTTATTATACAACCACTTGGTGAGCTGCATACCTGATGTGGAAAGAGATTTACAGCGCTTTTGGTTAAGGTTATCGACTTGTGACTATGAATTGTAAATAATCCACTATGTAATTCCAGTTTCTTCAAAGTTTGTAATAAAAGCTAAAAGATGTTTGCGATCCATCATACCCAATATTTGCAAAGCATGTTGGAATTTGAATTAACAGTAGGATGTCAATGAAATACCTCTAATTAAATGCATATGGATCATCTGTATACGGGTTCAGTGATCCTTCAGAGAACAAGTCCCCTATATTGGCAGCTTTTGTCTGAACTTCCCCTTTAGTTCCCTGCATTGAAAGTTGGGAGGAAAGAAAATTTGGAGGGAAATAAGAAATAGGTTAAAACTCAGGTTAAACAGTTTTATATATTTGTCATATTCATTTTAGTTTATTTCATTTAGACTATAAATATATAAATAAATGTAAAACCCTGAAAAATTTCATTTGTATTGGATTTTTCTTCACATAATCTATAAGTTAGATATTGACACAAACAGATACATTTCCATATAGAACCGCGATTGATATGATCAAATACCCTCATCAGAGCATGCCTAGGAGTATTGGCTTTTGGTGTCTTCTTTTGCTTCCCTACCTCCTGATTTTAACAATTAGATGTCAGTGTATTTATCAGAATGCCAATTACCAACAATGAATACAAAGTCATATGATTGAGAAAATAAATAGATACCCGTGCTCCAAACATCACTGTGCTCTTTGTTCTCCTCCTTTTGGTAACTGTTCCATCGTTTGTTGTCTCAACTTCATATTCACGATGAGTAACCTGGAGTAATAATTGTAAGAGATCAAATCTAGCAAAAACGCACTGATTGGAGAAGATGGGCTGGAGTGGTGAAATAGTATTTGGGTATTTGACATCATCAATACGAATATCCACAAGGTTGAATATAATGTACTATTAATTTGACATCATCAATACGAATATCCACAAGGTTGAATATAATGTACTATTAACATTTCTTGTAATTATCTTTTACTTGCACAGATTCTGATGTCCTTAATCAGATAAAAAGTTAAGGCGTAGCATCAATGTAGTAGGGAGTACTATTTGTTAATTAGTGTGTTACCTTCCTACCGTGCTTAGGAAGACTCATCACACTTCCTGTATTAACCTTCTCCACCTTCCTCAGCAAAGTTGACACGGGTGTTCCAGTTGCTCTCAAATAAGTGGAATCCTAGATCAACATAAAGAAATATAAATATGTGACCATGCAGCATTTTAGACATCGAACTAAAAGAGGAAAAAAAGTAATTAAATAGGGAGTGAGATTGTTTTTTGGTTTTGGCGTATACCAACTCCTGTACTTCTTCTTGGTCTGCAGCACGGTCGTCCCATTTTCCATTTCCAGAATGTTTCTTCTTCCCAGATGAAACAGAATAGTTCTGCAAACCATATGCTTTTCAATCAAGATATGGTGGCATAGTTGTATTACACAAGTCACCATACTCTCCACAAAGGAAATCTCATTTGGAAGCAATCACAAATGCAACTTTTTGGTTTCCTTTTGGTTAGGATGAAATGACATAGCAACTCGAAAACACAATTCCATTTTGAGTATTCTATTGATGATGTGCTAGAAATGGATAAGTTTGCTCTTGATGAGTAACAAAGCAATCACCTTTTGACCACAAGGCAATGAGTGCAAACCTTGGGTACAACTAACCCAACCCCCNTTCTTAGAAGAGGCTCACAGCCCCACATGTCTTTCAATTGATGCAATAAGCTATTTGAAATACAAAAGAAAGTAACACCATGTCACTACGCAAGAGCTACATGTAAAAAGTCTTTGCATATCTGCATAAAAAAGTTGAAGGTATCACTGACTTGAAAACTAATACGGAAGGTCTTATATGCAAATAACAACATTCTTTATCGTGCACCCTCTAAAATGGTCAAAAACTGCCTGCCTTGTTAATTTCAAACCAAAGATTATGGGGAGCAACTTGAATGGCTCTTATTAATGGACTTACTGGAAGACAATATTAATTCAACATTGTAATTAGGGTTACATTTAATAGAACATTCTATCGACATTTGAAAATAATCAAATACAGTAGAACATAAAGTATAAACTATACTCTCAAAGGCCGGGAACAGCTTGAAATTAATAGATGATTAAATTCCTAGCAGAACATTAGTTATTGTTTCCTGCATTCATGGGATTTTACTTATGACCATTTGTGGATGAACTGAGTATACAAGAGGGATTTATAACCGCTGACGGAGTAGTTCATCCCTTTTTTATACCGAGTATGTAAAGTACTTCATCAATTAGAGAAAAAAGGACTACGTACTTTTTTTAGGAGATGCAGTTGCAAAATAACTATGGCAAAAAGGACCATGTACTTTCTTATGAGATGTACTTGCAAAATAAATTAAACCCAGAGAACATAATTCATACTGCTATTGTGTAATGTACAAGGATTATCTAATCTTATGTATAAATTCAAACCTTCTTTGAAGTCACTTCTTGGTCTTCTCCCAAATTTTCACCCATCACCTTCCACTGCAGTTGTAACAAAGCCCTTTGCTTCTCCTCCTGATTGAAATAAAAAATGAGCACTGTACTGAAATGTACTAATATGAACAACAAAGAAATTCAAAAGACAAACTTTGGATTTCTGAATATCCAACTCTTCCTGTAGTCTTCTATACTCATCTTCGTGCTCACATCTCAAAGCACTTAACTGAGCATCATGCTCGTTCCTGAGGGATATTGTTTTCTGTAAAAGCCACAGATCACATACCACCAACAGAATAAGATGCAAACTTCTAAATATAATGCTCAAATATAAGAAGCACTAATACAGAGAAATACTTCTCTCAATTCATTTTCAGCATGAAGTTGAATGCGTTTTATCTCATCTTTGTGACAGGATATAAGATTGGTTTCCCTCTGGCCATGCTCTTGTTGAATGCGACTAATCTGCAAAGTTCTTTGGGTGTAACCATAAAAATAACATGCAAAAAGTATTTTGAAACTCATGCTGTACAACTGTGGGTGAATAAAAAAGCTGAATTACTGTACTAAATGATGGCCATCTTATTCTCAATCACTATGACTACTTCAGAGGAAGCTTCTACTCCTAGAGAGAAAGCTTCTACTCCTACCCTAGTTAGGCTGAGAATTACTAGTATGAATAACATGGAAACTACTGTTAAATAATCCTTGACTACTGTTAAGCTTCCAAAAAAGAAATTGTATTTAAAATATAGTTTCTAACATTGAAAAATATAAGTGACAGTCTTGGAAACAACCTCTCTAGTTTTGAGTAGAGGCAAGGTCTGGGTACACACACCCTCCCCAGACCCCACTTTCGTGGGATCCAACTCGGTTGTTGTTGTTTCTAACATAGAAAAATATAAGCGATCAGTTTTTCACATTTCAGTTTTAATACATACAAGAGTAGCATGTTCTTCTTGTACACGCAGCAAGTACTGCCTAGATTCTTCTCTGCATTCCACAAGTTGTTGCTCACATTTCTTTTGCATCTCTTCAACAAGTTTATCAGCCTGTAGAGTAAACTTTGTAAAAAAGCATGCTTACGTAAAATAATTACTCCGTATAACAGAGTGATCATCAATAAACCTTTTCCTTCTCCAGACTGATACTTGCCACCCTCTGCATCTCGTAATTGTGCCGCATTTCATTAATTGCCTGATCAAAATGCCTGACAGGGTCAGCTGCAGAAGTATAATGTTCATAGAATTTTGAAATGATTTATGTTTTTAGACATGACCTGATCATTCTTCTGAGATATATCCTTTAAACGCCTTGAAAGCTCTAGCTGCTTGCTTTCCAACATCTGGTCATATTCCTTTTTAACTTCTGTAAGTTTGTTTGTAGCTTCAATCAAAGTTTCTTCAATCTGCGACCAATTACGGGGTGAATTCAATTACATGTAACTATTAGTTTTAATGGACAAAATTATGATGAAATTGTTAGAATACCTCAGCCTTTTGATCTCCCAACTCTTTCTCCCTATTCTTAAGTTCCATAATAAATCGATCTTTCTCCTCCAATGCAGTAGTGAACTGAATGATTTGGTTGTCCAGTGAACCTACACGCTCTTCATGCTTTGCATTTCCTTCCCGCAAATGATTAATTTCTTCATCTTTTTTTAATAAATCCAATTGTAGCTTGTCTGTGAAATCCTTGTTCTCAGTTTCTAATTGAGTGAGCTTTGATAGCAACTCTTGCTGCATGATCATATTCATTACATCAAGATTACCAAATAGCATCAACCTAAGACAGGAAGTTTAGGAAGAGTTTGTTGTACCATGTTCTTGTCAGACACTTTTGCATTTTCTGATAAATTTTCTATATCTCTCTGCAACTTGGCAACCATCGATTCCAATTCTATCTTCTTAGAGCAATGGTTTTCTATTTCAGATTCTAATTTCCTAATTTTCTCTTCTGCTAAATGGAATTCTTCTGCATGCTGCACCATTGCATATTCTTGATCTTTCTGAAGTGCAATGACCTTATCACTCAAATCCTGATTAGACAATTGTAGATCATTTCTCTCTGAAAGAATACATGTATACTGCTTTTGGAGCTTGTCCATTTTCTGTCCAGCATGTTGAGCAGCAAGGTCTTTCTCTTCAAGGACCAGCTTGAACCAAGTGTCAAATAAAGTATTGAGCTGGGTGACCTTCTTCGAAAAGGTTTGACTTTGATCATCCAGTTCAGTGAGTTTTGTAGTCAGCAAATTGACAAAATCATGAAGATTCATAATTTCCTGAAGTGCCATTTCCAATCTGTCGGAAAATTCCTTATTGCTAGATATAAGTTCACACTTTTCTATCTCTAAACTCTTTGAGATATTGCTCAAATTTATCAATTCATCTCCTTTGTGTCTTGATTCAAGATTCAACTCTTCCAGTTTAGACTTCAAAGTCTCAATAGCCAATCCATCAGATTTGACCGTTTCTTCAAGCTTCATGAGTGTGGCATCTAATACGGAGTAATTGAAAGCACATAATTATAATCTATCATTTGAAGCTCGAAAAGTCATCTCTAAACAACAACAGACAAACAAAACTATATCATAAAAATGGGCTCGAAGATATGATTTTGCATATAGCCTTTATTTCTTTAAGGCCAGCCCTGTATTCCTTAGAGCTCAAAGAAGCTACATGTCACTATTCTTCTTCATGCACAGAATCCTTGAATGATCTAAAAACTCCCAGCATATACACTGCATTCTATAAGTTAACTTTCAAATTTTCTATGAAACAAACACATACCTTTTTCAGCTATTAGACTGGATGCTTTAGTGTGTTCATCCCTGAATATTTCCTGCATTTTCTGCTTCTCAATGCTAAGTTCCTTCAGCTCCCTTTCACCTAATAACAATCATGTAACAAGCCATGAAATTATACAGATATACAACACATTTGTAACTAAATGATCTCGTTAGTTGCCTGTTTAGGGATTTATAGATGATGAATATTAGCATAAGACATACGGTGTCTGATAGTCTCTTCTGAAGATTCCAGTCTCAATGACAGGGCCTTCATCTGGTCATGCAAATTATCAAGAGAAACTGAAGATGCAGATAGTTTATCTTCAAAGTATGCTTTAATTTCCTCAGCTACAAAACAAGTTGCAAAGTTAGTATCAAACATCAAAGTAGTACTACCTCAAACTTCAAAGCAATCTCATCACATCAAGTTACCTACCTTCCTGGACAAGACCAGCTAAATGTTGCAAAGTCTCAGTGAGTTGATCGCACCAGGTCTTCGTAGAAGAGAACTTAGACTCCAGGCCTCTCCAAAGCTTCTCATCTTCTTTTTGCTTAACTTTCAATTTGGCATTTTCATTATAAGCATTTTGTAGTTTTTCTTCCAAAACACCAATGTCTTCTGTCAATTTCTTCAGTTTGGAGTTCTGTAATTCATTGTCAGAAAATTCATGTCCATTGAGGAAAATAATTTCAAGGCATCCACTCTACTAGTTGTCATTCCACCAAAACTATAAACGGAGTATATACTAAGGAGTAGATGAAAGTATCTATAAACTATTACAGAAAGAGAGATTTTTTACAGCTAAATGAAGATCCGTTTTGGCAGAAGCTTGTTCCTTCACCAATTTCTCTGGTAGAAATTGCAACAGTAATGTGTCAAAAACCAAAAACACGATCAACACAAATTCGAAGAAATAAGACCAGAAAACTGATCAAAATACCTGCGGTTAGCTTCAAATTCACGAAACTTCCAGTAGAAACTGAATCTGAGGAAGAGCGCGCAGAAACTGACAGACTCTTCGCAGCTCCTGGACGGGACGCGGCTAAAGACTTGAACCGATCCATGCTATTCAAGCCTGACAGTCCCATGAGTTTACTCATCTCGAAATAAGAGCGAACACTTCGTCAAAACCCTAGATTCGCAATGGAGTTCTGAGATTTTCCTGAACGAAATGCAACCAGTAGAAATCGGAAATCTGAAAACGTCAACTCGGAGCTAAGGAGAAGAAGAACTTCATGAAATATCAGTTTTCTCGAAGATCGGCGATGAGAAATTGGCAAGAAACAAGGACGAAATTGCGAGTCTCGGATCGATCTCTGAAGAGCTCTGAGATGATTCGGTTGAGCGTTGGTGCTCGAAATGAATTTGGCGCCAAGTTATGGCCTATTTATCTACGGAGTGCGGCTACCCATCCGCTACCAGCAGATTTTTCTTTTTCTTAGAAGCTCGGCCAAAGACACGTGGCCGTAGCCCGGCAAAAGGTTTGTTCGATTTCGAATTTTTATTGAATCAAAATCATTTTTTTGATTAATAATTAAATAAAAATTATATTCCATTCCTCTCACAATTGATTATAATGTTTAGTTTCTTTACTAATCCAAAATCACGATAAATTTTATTTATTTGTATATATTTTCATTTATTATTTGATATAATAAATATTTTTGTCATCTCTTATTTTGTAAAATTTTTGATGTGCTTTTAAATACGAGTATGTAAGTTTTATCTTTTCACTTATGTCTCAATCTTTAAATAAAATGAATTAAAAAAATTAAAAAATTTTCTTTATTTTCTGCAATTTGCAATCAAAATAGGGACGAATGGAGTATGTTATTTTTGTAAAATTTTTGATATGGTTTTTAAATATGTAAGTTTTATTTTTTATTTATGTCTTAATATTTAAATAAAATGAATTGAAAAAATTTAAGATTTTTCTTTATTTTCTGCAATTTGCAATCAAAATAGGGACAAAGGGAGTATGTTATACTCCGTATTAATTAATTTAACCAAATTTTTAAAAATATTTTACAATATAAACCTAATAAAATTATTTTTATATCAATATCTAATATTATTTTTATTCAATTTATGATCTAAGTTAGCCAAATTCGACCGTAAAAAACTGGAAAAATAAAATCTCGAACTAAAGCAATATATCAAAAAAAGAATGTTAGTACAATCCCACTTTACACATCACATTGCACACATGTGTCTTTTTTTAATATAGATTTTTCCTACTTTTCCACATGCTTCTTTTTTAGCAAGATGATAGAAAAAAGGGCCTGCAAGTGTGAGAGGTGAGAAGAAATTAAATTTCCTCATTGATGGAGTGCAAAAAAAAGTTTTCACACTTGAAAAAATGATGCCGGATGATGTGAACTAGTGGTGGGTAAGAATCTCGAAATCATTGTCCCGATCCAAAATATCTTGATTTCATTCCTATAATGTTCTGTTTTGTTAGGGACGATAAAATTTGTCCTGGTGGGACACATAAATATTTTCCCCTTTCATCCAGTTGTCCCGTATATATGTATATATCTGCTAATGGTGTAAATTATCTTGACCGGTATATCGTTCTTAGCTGGGCAAGAACGATAAACTGATGGTGTTCTCCTTCTTTAGCTGGGTGTTCTTAACACCGACCCCCCCAACCATTTTTGGATAGCTTTGCCAGCTTGTCCGTCTGGCTTTTCATCACTGCGGCCAGCTCCTCATTTTTCTTCTTCAACCGGGCAACCTCGGTAGGAGAATCCATCTCGAGTCGGTCAGCAGTAATGGGCCCGATCTCTCCAACCTGCAAATTTAAACTCCTAGTCAAGTCGTTAGGAAAGGAAAAACATAACAACCCAGGAAAGGAATGTGACTTACCTCCCTCAGCCTTAAGCCGAGATTGATGAAGGCCTCTTTGATGGTCTCGTTACCCGCCTCAGAATCCACCCTTTGCCTCTTGGCAGTGGCGGATGGGTGGATTGTAGCTGCCTTCTTCACCCGCTGTCGGGACTTATCCTTTGCCTTGGGGGAGGAGCTTTTTCCTTTTGCTCGGGTATGCGGGACTCCTCCTCATTGATAATTTCCATGGTCTCCTGTTGGACCGAGAATGTCTTGGAGGAAGTGGCGGCCTGAGAGCCACTGGCCGTACCAGCACTCCCACCGGTGGGGATCTCGAACTCTTCAAACTTCATGTCACAAAAAGATAAAGAAGAAAATCAGCAAAATATAAATACATGTACCAGTAAGAAAAGAATGAAAAGTACAAGGCAAACCTTAGTGGCAATGGCCCTCAGCCTCCGTAGTGTTGATTGAGGAGGATACCACGCGCCCCCTACTTCATTGTCCTGCGAGGCACCCTCTCCACCCTGGTTGATCCTCCAGACCCAGCTCCCGTAATGATATTTTCATCCCGGTGTAGGGATCACCACGGAGCAGCTTCTCTAGACTCTCCTCCAAGTCAGGAGTGGCGGCCGGTTTGGTTAACCTGTGATTGAGGAGGTGATTGTTCTTCCTCAGACCGGCTAGGGGAGAGTCAAATGGGGGGAAATCGATGAAAACAAACTTTTCTTTCCACCTCTGCTTGCTCTGGGGGAAGATTAGAAATGAACTTCCGGCGAGGGCGACCCTTTAAGTACATGAATTTATCACAGCCGGGTCACCCGGGAAGGGCTTTGAATAAAAATAGGAATAGACGAAGAGAGGGATCGATGCGAATATGTGAACAAATATTTACAAAGGAATTCAAGAGACGATGGGCATTATGAGTAATCCGTCTGGGAAGGATTTGAAAGGCATGGCAGACTTCCACTAGGAAGGGGCGGAGAGGAAAGATTATGTCGTCCTCCAAGGAGGTGATGTGGAAACCTATCCTATTCTCCTAGTGGGGATCGACTATGTTGGGCTAGTTTTCGTCATATCGAAGGACATAGTCCTCCGGGAGATTCCCACGGGCTTTCCTATTCTCCTAGTGATGTGGAAACCTATCCTATTCTCCTAGGTCTTTCCTCCCACTCCACCCAGGTCTCGTGGTCTGGATCATAGGGACCTGGTTCTTGATTGGCCAGCTCCTCTTGTTCCTTAGAAACCTGACCTGGTACTTGATTGGCCGGTTCAGGATTGAGAACAGAAGTTTGCTTAGCCGGTCTGGACACAAAATCAGAATAATAATAACCGGTAAAGGAAGAAGACACGACAGATTTCTCAGATGCATAGGCATCTGAGAAAGAGGGGTTTTGACTATTTTCCCCTGAAGACATGACCGGGAAAAGAAAATTAAGAGAGAAGAGAAAGGCTTACTTGACTCGGAGGACTGGAAGGCTAAAGCTGGGAGCTTGACTGGTATAGACTCGAGGGCTGATGTGCACAAAAGGTGAAATAATGAAGGGGCGAGAGGCCTTTATATAGGCGAGCAAAGGGGAAAAGAGGCGACATGGCAAGCAACGAATGCGCCGCGTCAAGCGGCGCCATCATGACGCATGGAGAAGACGAAAAGATGGGGTGACAGCGTAGTGATGACAGGGATCTGCGAGCGACGCGCGTCAAAAAACAAAGTTCAATTTTGAATTTTAAATATTTCAGGCGGGAAAGATCCAAAATTCGAATTTCAAGTGATCCATCTTTCAAATTTTCACTTCTCACCCTTGATAATTTACAAGGCCGAGAAGTGGATGACTTATTGATGAGTGTATTTCACCCAGGACCCGGTCCATAGTTGAGTCCACAATGTCTAACCGGTCAAACGATAAATTATCAGAGTAGAAGAATAGTGACAAAAGTTCATACCCATCGGTGTCTGGAAAACTGATCGGTACACTTTGACTACTTTACCGGTCAAACTACAAAGCTTGTTATGATCATTTCCAATCTCCATAAATCCATCATGTGTAAACCTAACTGGTAGGGTTTTTATGGCTGGAAGTGTCAGCACGAAACGATCTAGGGGAGGTTGGACGGTAGCAACTGAATTCAACGAAAGATCACCGAAGATATTTTGCACAATCTGTCCAACACGCTACGCAACAAGGAATCCACCTTCCTTACAAGATGACAAGAGAATAAAGGGATAAGACAAGCCACTAAGGGACAAAGGCAGTCACCTTGTGACATCCAAGAACATGGCCTGACGTGGATGTGCGGCGCATTGTCCCCTCTAGCTTCCTATAAATACTTGTGTAACCTTCAAATGAAGGGGATCCGAATTTCATCTATCTAGAATTCGTATTGTAATAACTCGTGGCACTTTCTTGCATACTTAATAACAATTGGACTACAAGTGCTTCCACCTATTGTTCTACTGGCCACTCTTGCTTTCTACACCTCTTTACTTTCTAGAGCTTAGAAAAGTATTCTAGACCTGGTTTAGTACAGTTTACCCGGTGGTTAATTTACACCAGCAACATGTATACATCTTTCTATTGTATCAGTGTAATGATTCACACAGACATAAAATGATAGTGCAATTTTTTTTTGAAGAAAACCCTCTAAATAAGAGTAAAACATATGTTATATCCTCAAAATAGGAGTTCAAACTTAAACTCCTCAAAATAGGAGTAATTAATTAAATTTTGTTTTCATTTAAACAAATCTATCAAAGTACTCGTATCATACCCAGTCGCATGCTGTCGGCCTCCCTACTTCTTGAGGAAACTGAAAATAGTTTCCATTAATTGAGCTTCTCGTTCGCTCTCTTCCAAATCCCTCGCTTTGTTCCACAATCATAATTGAAATTATTCCTTAGATGAACCCCACAATCAATTCAAGGGGTGATTGGTGTGATTTGTGAGTTTTGGTGATTAATTAGGTGATTCTAGTTTACTTCTACGGAAAGGTAAAAAATATTAGCATTATATTAGCATTTCTCGGTGTTGGTACTATGATGTCACTGTATGTTGGTAACCTATATTGTTCTTAGCATTTTATTTTGCATTTTACATTATATATTGTCATATTTAGCATTATACAATGACATATTTATCATTATCGAGTGACATATTTGTCATTATGCATGACCATTTTTGATGTTGTATATATAATTTTATCGTTAATAGTTATTGTGGCACCATGGCCATGAGATGGTGAAAGTTGTAGACTGTGGTAGTGTCGGCGGTGGTGACAAAGCACGAAAACAATGGCGTAAAAAACAAATGTGATTGAAGTGGTAGATCGCTGCGGCAATGGAAGTTCAATTGATGGTCGCGCGGGCGGTGTTGTCGGCGACATCATAAGTGGCGGTTGGAGAGCCGATGTCGACGACGACTACGACAGTGCATCGCCGACATCGTCGGTGCCGGGTGGGGTGCTACCATCACCGGCAGTTGTATGCCGCATTTGAGCAACAATAGTCATTTTTAAATTTGTAAATGTTACTTTGTATAATATAATTTCTATTTTGGATATTTGTTTCTACTCCTAACTTGGTATGTTGTTCATGCTTTACTTCTATTTTGCTCCTTAACTCTTTGATTAATGAAGTTAATTACTCTTATTTAGGGTAGTTTAAGAGCATGAGCAATAGTGAGACAAAATGGAATGCCACACGCTGACATGGAACATTTCAACCAATAAAAAATAGTCCAGTCAACAAGTGGCAAGGAAGTAGAGTGGTATACTCTGCAGTGGCAAGTCATTGTTTTTATTATTCTTTTTTTATTTTTTTCCATATTTGAATTATTTGAAGTTATTTAACCTGTTTATTTTATCACAAAAATATTTCTATTAACTCAAAATTATTTGATTTATTATTTTTCATAAAAATATTTCTACTTTTTTTTAAAAAAAAGTTCTTTTTTGATGCAAACAAATAAAATTACGATAAGTTTTTCTCACTTTTTACTTTTCTTTAAATATTTTGATTAATTGAAATTATTATTTTTATTTATTTTATCATAAAAAAAGTTATATAGAGTACTTCCTTAAAAAAAATCATTTAAAAAGTTTCTCTTACCAAAAAATGAAAAAAATGAAAAAAATTGGAACAAGAAGGCTCGCGGATGACACTGTAAGGGAGGAGAATTTCTATCTCCACGCATGACAAATAACCAAAGAGGCTGAGGTGGTAGGGCTTGGGAATGCATCTCCACGCCGCTGCTAATGCTCTAAATTTTAGTTCTTATTTTCAGGATATGAGATATGTTTTACTACTAGTTTGATTCTAACCCATTTTTAATCGGGCAAGGTTCCCGTGACATTGCCCGGCAATATCATGGGATGACCCGGGGACGCTCCGGTGCCCCGTTCGTAAAATTGACGGTTCTACCCCACTAATCCCCCGGTAAACCCCCTCACCCCGCCCCGACTCGAACACACCCCCCACCCCTCTTTAATTGCACCCCACAAGTTGATTTTGACTTTGGAGTCAAAATTTGACTCCAAAGTCAAAATCAACTTGTGGGATGCAATTAAAGAGGGGTGGGGGGTGTGTTCGAGTCGGGGCAGGGTGGGGATAGGAACCATCAATTTTATGAACGAGACACTGTAGTATCCCAGGGTCATCCTATAATATACTACTACGTAGTATATTGTGTCAGTGTAAACTATCTAAATATTGTATTGTACCTTTTTGAAATTCAAAGTTGAATGATTGAAGTTGAATACGGAGTATCCTTTTTTCTCAAAGAGTACAATTGTGTCAGATTTAACAGTGTATTTAGAGAGAGAACTGAAAACATATCTCTGCCAGCAAATTCTGAGCCTCAAAAAAATAAAAAAAAGGAAAAGAAAGGAAAAAAATCCCGATCGAGATGCGCTGGGCTCTTGCTCTTACCTCCACTCAAACACCGTCCCAGCCACGTCTACTTCCTCCCCCCCTCTCTTCTGCTCTGATTTAGGTCTCAGATTTCTTCGCCCGTTTCCTTTCTGCGAGCCTTAGCTTCCGATTCGCATTCGTTTCGATCCCGGAATGGCGATTCTGAGGAATCTGGGGGCTGGTTTGGCTCTGTTGACGATTATCGGGAGCCTCACGTGCGCGGAAGCCCTCGCGGCTTCGATTTCCTCAACGTGCCCCTTGCGGAATCCGGTTAGAGACTCGATCTTAGGGTTCCGAGATTTCACGTGCCCGGTTGATGAGATCGATTCTTCCTATGCATCCGATGTAGTTGAGGTACATAATTCCAATCATGTTCTCTGGTATTTGCTCGTTTTTTTTTTCGATTTTTCAAAATCTAGATTTCATTCGTTGGCGCACGTTCTTGAAGAATCTGGTGGTGTTCTTTTACATGCTCGTACAGTTTTTTTTGGTAGAGCGAATTAGGCAAACCGGTTAGATTCCTTGATTTGGATTTTTAAGCTGGTGTATTTCACCCTCTGCAATGGTCTATTATTGCGTGATCTGTACATGACATCCATATACATAGAGGACAGATACTTGTGCTGCTTAGAAGTTGAAGCAATTCATAAATTTTTTATGAATACGGGTTTGGCTTTGAAATGTTTAATACTTAAAACTCTGCATTGAAGAATAGAATCAGTGTTTTAATGCACTAATATGTCATTATTGGTTGCGTGTAGGGAAACTATAGATGATATATTGGGTTAATTATGAAATCCATTGCAATTTGCATATTACGTTCCACTGATTCCAAAGATATACGAAGGAAGTACATGTTTTTAATAACTAAAGACACAACTGTTTGTATATCTTCCGTTCTCATCTAACCAGATAGCTTTGCATTGGGCACATTCATGTATCCTCTGTAATATAAAACTTGCTTCATCTTTAATTTGTTAATGGCTCGTCAGGGCCATCACAGTATAGCATTAAGTAAATATTAGCTTAATTATCTTAGACAGAATACAGTCATCTTGCTTTGCTCAATTGCTCCCAAGCCAAGGCACATTATCAGGAGTTGATTGCTTGGGGAGGCTCACTTATTTTGCCTGCGGTGAAGACTGAAGATTTATGATGTAGTGAGTATGATAGAATCAGAGAGGAATAGGGAGGCAGCCTGATACAGGTTGAAGGTTGTTGAACAAAAACAACTGGAAGATTTAACAGAAGGAATCTATACTCCTAACTTGATTTCCTCAACCAAATGCCTTTTTTGTTTCACTTAACCTCTCAATATGTAATTAGGGTTCAAGACACTGAAAAGGAAACAAACTCAACACATAATGTGATTTTTTTAGAATCACACTGAATAGAACAAATGTAAAACTAAAATTTCCAAGTTGGAGAAATCTCCATTTCTCAAACCAGATTGTTGAGGGCAGAATCTGACATCTAGCTCAGTATAGTGCAACCCTCTAGATTGTGGGCCCCTTGATGTTTTTGTTTAATTTATTGTAACAGTTTCCTACAAAAGCATCATATATTCATATCTGCAAACAGCTTCGGCCATTCTGAGTTCTCCTTCTATCTCTCAATTATATGCCCATGAACAACCCAGTAAGATCTAACCATTAAACAGCCATCAACTTCCCAAAACCCTATGAAAGGTGTAATAAATGTTTAGTTCAAATAGCCCTTTTTACAATTTAATCATTTTTTAAAATCTTTGAATGATCTTCATTTTGATCAAAATAATGCCTTTTTACAATAATGTTTTTAATACCACTTTGGCGCCTTACGTGATAGTCCACTGGTGGTAAGGGAAGAAAATTGTAAGAAAGGCCGTTAGTTCAAATCCTAGGACAAGTAGCCTTTTCTGAAGAGATGCAAGTTCTGAATTGACACTCATACTTTGGGGCAGGCACCTTGTAAGTTGTCTGGGATTAAACCTAAAGTTACCTATTGTTGAGTCTGAGAGGGTGGTTCATAGGTTCAAGGATTATTGGGCTAAGCCTGACACCCGAGCCTGAGTTATCATAATAAGTTCTTGTTGACTTCACAGAGTTTAAGGAAAGTATTGAAAAGTGATTAAAGTAAAAAACATGTTAAAATTGTTTAAAAGTAAGATAAAAGTTGTGTATGATATATTTTTTCATTCACAGGAAAGTAAAAAGTTTGAAGTTTATTTTGGGACAACCCAAAAAATTAAGCGTAGCCTTCTTTTAGAGACATAAGAAGTGTAGTATTAAACTGTTTGTTTTTGTTTGTTAGGTCGATCCCTTTTCAATAGTACCATGATCCATTACCTGGTAGTCCCCAACTAACAAGGAAATGGGGAGTACTATACGTTTGATGGTGTTCCCCAACTAACAAGGAAATGGGGAGCACATTACATATTTGCTTGAAATAACTACCATTTCTTTTTTTAATACTTATTCCTTATGAAGTCATTAAATTTGTGATGTTTGTTTTATGATTTTATCCTTATTTTCCTTGTTTTTTTCCTTTTCTGGTTTATTTGTGTTTGAGTTGGGTTCTCTTGGAAACAATCTCTCTGCTCTCTCTACTCTCTAGGTAGAGGTAACTGGTAAGGGGTATGTACACTCACCCTCTCCAGATTCACTATGTTGGATTTTATTGAGTTGTGTGCTTGTATCATTTTCCATCCAATTAAAAAAACGCAAACATCTCATTCGGATTGGCTTGGACAATGTTAATATAAGCCAACTTCTTAACTCCCAATACACATCTACATCACCATTGGAAAGAAGAAATAATCTTGGGTAATACCCAACCTAGGCACGCATAAACATTTTGGCAAACCTAAGTGCATTTTCGTTGAATTTAGGACCGGGTTAGGCTCACTCAGCTTAGTCATAAGTGCTTGGGCCAACTCACACTAAAAGATCGAATGCATCCGATTAGCTAGTTCAATCCAACATCTTATAGGCTTGTTATTCTCTCGTAATTATTCCTGTGTTGGACTCTAACACCTAGTAGATAACCAGACTATTTTGAATCTAACCAAAGAGAGAAAGTGAGTTTGTTTTACTAAACATCAAATGATGGTAGGATTGGGATTCAAAATGGTTTAACACTTGCAAGAAAACTCTAGATTTTCCTCTAATCCAGTTTAAAATTTCAAAGGAAGAGTTAAAATTTTAATTTTATGTGGATCTTACAGTTTTAAAGAGTTAAAAGTTGAAGCATCCAAAAAACAATGCTTCATCGTCAGCAATTCTGCATCTAAGCATCACACTTTCCCTTTGTTGAGGCCTGAGTGTATTAAATATTGTGCGAACTATTTACAATGGACACACAGTAAAGTGTGCTGTTGCTGATTCCGAATTCCGACAAGGCTGTGGAATCTTTTATTTATGTACTGTAGACCTAATCTATTTGCATTTTCAATAGAAAATCTAACTGGATTCCACATTTTTTGTTGTGAAGGGAAATGAGATGATATTGCAAAGGGCATTGCATATGATTCACCAGAGATCACATAAATATGTTGTTTTCCTCTTCTATGCATCATGGTGCCCGTTCTCTGAAACTTTTAGACCAATCTTTTCTGTTCTGTCTTCTTTGTTCCCTTCAATTCCCCACTTCGCAATTGAAGAGTCAGCTATTAAGCCAAGGTCAGAAAACTTGTTGTAATTCATTTAATGTATGTTCATATTACATCTTGTTAGTAAGAATCTAACACTGAAATTTTCAGTACTCTCTCAAAATATGGAGTTCATGGCCTTCCCACGTTGTTGATTCTGAATTCTACAATGTGTGCTCAATATCACGGCCCCCGGACCCTTGATTCTTTAATTACTTTCTATAATGGTGTAACTGGTAAGATTTTTTCTTTTAAAACTACAGTATTTTGTAGTAGAAGCATATTAATACCTTCATTTATGTGTTAAATGTATTTTTTAATTGTGTTTGACCCTCTTCGCATTCCATTTTCTCCAATGGAGCCAAATATTAACTACTGTTTGGCTTTGGAGTAAGATGGAATAAAGCAAAATGGCTCTTAAACTATCTGTGCTTCTTTTAATAGTTGAGTAACAGTGAGTCGGTGCAACTTTCGACACTCATCATGGGTCATCTAGAAACAGCAGCTCTATGTTCTAGCATAGGGGTCAGGCTGCGTACATCCGACCTCCCTTACCCCGCTCGGCCTTTGGGCACAGGGGTAATGTTGTTGTTGTTTGACCCTCTTCGGCAACCAGCTGGTTGCTATGCTTAAAAGATAAGTTTTTTTGCCAACTAAATGGATCCTTGGGGGCTTGGGGCCAAATGCTTCCAATAGCTGTGCTTTTACCCAAATACTCTCATCCCGAAATAAGGCTTCACAATTAATTGGTTACAGTTATTAATAAAGGTGAAATAAAGGAAATGTGAAACATTTTCATGGGACAGAGGCACTACCTTTTTTTCCACACAAAAGCTTCCCAAATTACTCTTTTCCAAACATCCATCAATACTTTTTTCAAGCTCTATTTGTATTCCTCAATCTATTTAGTTTTACAAGATTTCATTAGCAAGTATGATATTTCTGTCGTAAATATTGATTTATTCCTATCATTATTTTGTTTGCTGGAAAGGTGTCAAGACAGCAACAGAAGATGTAATATCATCCTTAGAGAAGGTCGGATGTTCCTCAAACCAGCATGGGTATAAAAGTGGCAGTGAACCAGAAAGTTGCCCATTCTCATGGGCAAGGTCTCCCGAAAACTTACTTCGGCAGGAGACATACTTGATGCTGGCAACGGCATTTGTTCTCTTGAGATTGGCCTATGCCCTTTTCCCCCACATCCGCAGGTTTGCCCGATTCGCTTACACGAGCTACAACATGAGAATAAGTTCCTTGTGGGAGCACCCTCTCCTCTACATGCGCCGTGGGTTGCAAGTATTTGATTCGTTAAAGGAACAATGCAAGCGAAGCAATTTGCAGGAAGGAGCTATGAATGCCAGGGCATGGGCCTCAAAGTCTCTGGCTTCCGTCTCATTTGGTGAAGCAAGCACGAGTCGTGTTGCGCCTAGGTAAGTTTGATTAATTCGACACTTAAAATTTCTATATGATTAGAAAACATTCTGCTTGCCTCCATTGGGGTTGATTTCGTTACGAGCCGAAAACCCATTTTTTCTTTTTCTTTTTCTCTTCCTTTTTACGCGTTCAAAATATTTGGATGTTGAAAAATGAAACAACACGCATGACTCTTGTCGTTGTATTGTTGTAGATACAAGTGTCATCGTCATTTTCGCCTCATTGTCAAAAGACAGTGCTAACCTGTTTGTATATACAGTAACATTTAGCGAATAAGCTAAATTTTTGAATCTAGATATTTGTTGAACTCTGCGTGTGAAACTCATTGTCCTCTTGATCATCATCTCATTAAACAAAGCTGTGTTAGATGAATGACGACTGCGTTACTTTTGATTTCAACACACACGCACACATTTAAGCGTCCGTTCATACTCCATCCGTCTCCAAAACCTTACCCGCCTTTTTCTTTATAGGCATTCCTGGAAATACTGGCTCACATGATTTTTCTCATCTAAACAAATTCTAATTATATATTGGAGGGAGTAGTTTTAAGGGTAATTCTCTTTTAATACCCAAGTTTGATACTGTGTATTTTACAAACATGTACAGATAATGATAATTTTTTATGCGATTCAGATATTAATTGTTTGTGTCTTGTATGTGAAATACATACTTTCAAACCATTAAATGCAATCCCACAATAGAACATTAATGAATGTAACACAAATAATAACTAATCAATATGAACACCTTGAGCTCCATTTTCATTAAAAATGTCCAAGTATCCTTCATCCCAAGTTGGTTGGTGTTCTCCAATAGAAAAGGTTTCAAGTACTCCCTCCTTGTGCAAATATTCTTTACATTTGACTTTTCTTGGTCAAAGTTTGTAAATTTTGACTCCAATTTGTTTAAAAAAATTCATTGTACTATGATATAAATTTAATACCAATATATTCTTAATGAAATGTAATTGTAAGAATATCAAATTTTTATAAAATATAGCTATGTATAAATATAGATATTAATGGTTAAAGTACAATATTGGAAATCGTGAAAAATGAAATGAGAAGAACATTTCCGGACGGAGGAAGTACTTCAAAAATGTCTTATATTTCTCATGGAAAAGAAGGCATGACCAGTGTTCTTAAATCTTAATCACCACAAGTTCAGCATTTCCTTCAAGACGCCTGCCATGTTGATACAATTGGATTAATGGTGTAATAAATTTCATCTCAAACATTCCAACGTCCAATTTTAGAATTCTATTTGAAAAGAAAAGGTCATTTCACTATTTTACTTTTTAAAATCTTCACACGTGGTCGATTATAAAACATTAATACATGACGGAAGGAGATTACATTTCTCAATTTGTCTCTCATGATTTTCTTATTGGGGGGACAACTTTTTTGAACTGGGGTCATTCTTTTAGCACCAAGGTTCCCATGATATTGAGAACAATGTCATGGGATGACCTGGGGGCGCTCCGATGCCCCGTTTGTAAAATTGACGGTTACTATCCCCCTAATCCCCCCGGGTAAACCCCTAACCCCGCCCCGACCCGAACACACCCCTCACTCTCTTCAATTGCACCCCACAAGTTGATTTTGACTTTGGAGTCAACTCCAAAGTCAAAATCAACTTGTGACGTGAAATTGAAGGGGGTGGGGGGTGTGTTCGGGTCGGGGCGGGGTTAGGGGGTAGGAACCGTCAATTTTACGAACGGGGCACCAGAACGCCCCCGGGTCATCCCAATGTGGAACCTTGCCCTTATTTTAGTTTATCGATGATTTAATGCTAGCTTAAGGAAAAAGTTATTGGGGGTCATTGCCCCCCATGCTAAAAGATTGCATCTGCCATGCCGCAGAGGCGCGAGAGGCTTGAGATAGTCGACGAGAATGAGTAGACCTAAAAGGAGTTAAAGTGAAGTGATTAGATATGATTTGCGGTTTCATGAGCATTTAGTGGTCTAGGACTCCGAGTGGTAGGTTAGGTAGTAGTGGGAGTTGTCTGCCCATTAAATTAGTGTCTCTAATATCACGTCAAGAAACTAACTCAATCAAAAGTTTAAACTTGTGATTGTAAAATCAATAAATAATGCGTTGTAGTATCCTCCAACATAAACTTGTTTCAAAAAGAGGGGAGGGGGAATCTTACACCATTGAATTTGTATAAAATTTTACATCAATTTAATTGGAGTACCTACAATGCTCCGATCATAAAATTGATTATTCATACTCCTCCTGGTAAACCCCTCTTACCCAGTCTGTCCTTTATGCGCTCCGCACTCTCTCGAATTGCATCAACCAAATTTTGCGTAGAAAAATTGACAATAAATAACAAAAAATTACATGGAGAAAATTGACCAATTTTTGAGTAAAAAAATTGATCATAAAGTAGGAATTAAAAAAAATTGAGAAATGAACTTTTCTTCAATCAATGAGCAAATTCTAATGGAAACATTTTGTCTTAATCTCCCCATCCATATCCATATTCATACTTTATTTAAAAAAAGGGAAAGTAAGGTAATGGTTTTCCCGCCCAAATTTTAGGCCATTACATATGGTAATTGTGATGTGTACATGGTAAGTAATAAAAGACTATTAATTTCCGTTCCAATAATATTTTATTACGTAAATGTTCAACCCAATTTTTTATTTCACGCCAATAAAAGGCTATTAATACCGTAAATGTAGAAAAATAAAAATAGAATGGAAATTTGTTTGGAAAGAAAAAAAATTAGGTTTCAAAAAATAAAAAATTAAAATTTTTGTTTAAAATTTTTAAATTTTCGTTTCAAGAGATGTTATGCCAGTACATATGGTAATTGTAATGTTTAAATAGTAAGTAATAAAAGGGTATTAATACACGCCAATAAAGGCTATTAATACCGTAAATTTGGAAAGAAAAAAATCATGTTTCAAAAATTAAAAAAGATTCCGTTTAAAAATTTTAAATTTCTGTTTCAAGAGATGTTAAGCCATTACATATGGTAATTGTGATGTGTACATGATAAGTAATAAAAGGCTATTAATTTCCGTTCCAATAATATTTTATTATGTAAATGTTCAACCCAATTTTTTTATTTCACGCCAATAAAAGACTATTAATACCGTAAATGTTGAAAAATAAAAATAGAATGGAAATTTGTTTGGAAAGAAAAAAAATCAATTTCATAAATAAAAAATTAAAATTTTCATTTAAAAAATTTTAAATTTTCGTTTCAAGAGATGTTATGCCAGTACATATGGTAATTGTAATGTTTACATGGTAAGTAATAAAAGGCTATTAATGCACGCCAATAAAGGCTATTAATACCGCAAATCCTTTATATATAAATTTAAGAGTTTGATGTATAAGAGTTTGACATATGGCACAATATGGAGTATATATGTGGCAAAATGTGAGACATATTATGTGGCATTTGATTTATGAGCTAGACTCTATTAAATATTATTTGACATGTGATTAAACTTTTATTTTTGATCAAAAATAAAATTATTAAAAATAAATTTTTTAGATAAATTCTTTATATTAAATTATCAAGAATAAAAATATTCAATAAATCCTTTATATAAAGTGATTAAAATTTTATGTTTAGAAAGTTTATATATGCATTACTTATGTAGCTTTTTACACCTATTTTGACACATAATTTAAGACATAAAATATGAAAAACTATTTTGGTATGAAATCTTTGAATAAATTTAATTATGAAATATTTATATTCATTTTTATAATAATACTTTTTCATGATTCAGTATTTTTTCTTCATTTCTAATAAAATTTTCAATTACTTAATAATACACTACTTTGTATAGGTTTTTTCCATAAATAATTAACTTAAAATAATAATGTAAAATAATTTTAAAATATACAAACTAATGTAAATATTATTCATAAAATTTGAAACTAAAATAACATTACCCTTGAATTTAATTTGAATATTGAAATAAAAAATGAAAACAAAAAAAAAGAAGAAACAAAAAATATAACCATATAGTTTTGGTTAAAGAGCAAAAACTAGAGATCTTTTTCACAGAATATTCAAACATATTGGGAATATGATTTTTTATAAAAGCAAAATCTTATAATTTTAATAAAACATTAAATATAGCAATTTGCAATATTACTTGTTTTTTTCAAATTTAAATATTATAAATTTAATAAAACATTAAATATAGTACTTTACAATATAACTAGCTCTCTTTTGATATTTGTTAGTTACACTCAATTTTAGAGTCATATTAATAAAAATAATTGATACCCTTAAAATTCAATTACAAAATGTTCATATATAATTCAAGAAATGTGTAATTTCATCTATCACCATCACTCAAGCTTAAATACACATGTGTTCAGAGAGGATTAATATTCTGATTAAAAATTATAATAAGTATTCAAACTTTATTTTCCTTTTTTTAAGTAAATTTGGTAGGAGCATCCAATTTTTTTATAACAATTGAAAACATGGAAAATTAACTTAACGAGAGATAGACGAGATCAATTAGAAATGCAAGAGAAAGAAGAAATGAAACACTTCAACAGAGAGCACATAAAAAAGGTGCATATTTTTACGATTATTGTTTTATTTTAGCAATTCAACATACATCTATCACAATCAAAAATATCTTTTGGAAGTTTCCTAGGAATCATATGTAATTAAACTCTAAAACCGTTGCTTTAGATTTTTAAGCATGATTCTTTTGTATATAGTATCCTAATTAATGCACACATATCTAAAAATTTTGAAAATAACTAAATTAAACAAAACATTGGTGGCTATAATTTCTTCTTTATTTTTGAGGCAACAAAGACCATTGATAGGCCGCCTGCAATCTGTGCCAATAGGAATAGAAAAATTGTACTACTTGAAAATACTATTAGCGGTCTAACGGGGATGTACAAGATATCAGAGCTTGAAAACAGTTACCAATAATGTTATACGAACAAAACTAATTCGACAATTCATGTGAAACATTGGAGTTATTAACCAATGATAAACAATTTATTGAAGATATAAAACAAATTACTGAGCTAGGATCTCAGAGTCAGCTAAGAAAGTTGTTAGTCACATTCTTAGTGACAAATACCATGAGTCATTCTTAAGTTGTTTGAGAAAAAGCATGGGAGCTCTTGGTTGATATGAGACTTTATTTGATTAATGAAATTGCAAAAACAAGGTCTTTCTATAAAAGGTACTTTTTTTATTTATATCACGATCAATATGAAATGTACTGCGTATGATATATATACAAAACTTTAGACTTGAGATATGGGTTAAAATCAAATGATTTAGTCCCATTTCAACCATTCTTGTAGAACTTATTATTTTTCAAGAATATCTAAAAACTTTATATTTGATTGAGA